TGGAGGTGTAGATCCACGTATTATTTATCTCGATACTAGACGGAGGTGAGTCGTTAGCCTCACGCTCTGACCTCTTTGCCCCCTGAAGACAGTGAAAGGAAAGTAAGCGATTGGTTCTTCCCAGAACTTCTTGTTGGTTTATAGTTCAGAAGACTATGACTCGGCTGTAGTCATTTGATACGCTGGGATTTCCCCAAACTGAGCGTTTCTTTCACTGTTAACTCACTTCTTATATATCACTGATGCACATGAAGTGACGCGATAAGCGCTTGATACGTACATCATTCAATCTCTCAGGATGTTTTTTCGAATATGTGGAAGTCAGTGTATGTCATAAACATGTATCTGAGTTTACATAGATCACCGGTGGAAGAGTTATCATGTGATGAAATTCCTGGCTGTCATATTGTTTGTCTGCACTTGTCACAAAGTTATTGTGCGTATTTACACATGGCCGTGCCGAGCACGTTCAGAACCGACGCTCGTAATCAGAATATGAGCAAAAAGGAAAACATCTGAAGAGACAACATGAAACAGAAACACGAAATACATGCAAGTCTTCATGTAGAATGTTCGTTCCTGCTGTTCGCTTTTAACAAAAACTGGAATGGGTATAAAAATTTTTAATAAACTTACCAATGTCAAATTTGCTGAAATCCTTTCCACTGTTCTTGAGCTGTTGAATGCCCAGACACAAGCTAATAGGCGCGCTGTTGCCATCCTCCTAAGGTCTTCCCATCTTTACGTGGGGCGCTGTAGGAAAGATGAGCAGGCCTATGTTTATCTGGTATCACGTCACTTGCACGATTAGAGCTTAAACTTTCAATTACCGGCATTTCGAAGCTGGTTAAAATTTACATGACGACAGAATTCATTCTGCAGCTGAAGGCTGTCAACTTTCCACTGTTTAATTCCCACATAATTTTGAAGTGCCGACAACTGTCACGTGTAGGCTACGTGAGCCTGTGGTTTCCTCGAAGCCAGGGTTTCCCTACGTTGTTTGATCTATCGCAAAGGAAGCTGCGAGTGAGCCATTGGCCCCGCCATAGGACGATAGCGGAGGTCAAGCTCCACGCATTCTCGTCCTTGTCATTAGGCGAACTAGAGTGCTCAGCTTCTCGTTCCCTTCCATTAGGCCCTGGAAAATGCCCCCGAGGCCCGTTCCTATCCCTCGGTTTCCTGTTGCTCCCGTCTGTACTTCACTAATAACTTCACCACCCCTGTCTGAATGTTATGTATTTTGTGTTCCTTCTGTATCAAGTTTTGTGGTCTTAAGCAAGTTAACAGCAGTCTCCAACTCCTGCCCATGGAAACTAAACTGGAGACTGTTTGACAAGGTTAAAATTAACCCCATTTCCGCACTTTCAAGCAGAGAAGGATTTTTTCCGTACTCTTCTCCAATATTAGGGTGACCAAATGAAAAAGAAGGAGACGGGAGGTGCGTCCATTAGTCTCTTACTTTTCGGTTTTCCAGCTAAATTCCATGCATTTCTCAGTTCTCCCATGCCCTGACAATCGAAAACAAGGAAAAGGAAGTAATACATAGAAAAACAATGAGGGAAAGTTTAGGACTCTATAGTCAAGAGAGTCAAACAGGAGCAACGAAGCAAAATGTTTTTTCGCGGGTTATATAACAAACGTTTCGGTCCCGAGACTATGTAGCGAAACAAAACTCCAGAAACATACGTAAACAGAGGTCGTATATATTTACATCAGCTACAGGCAGGCTGCAAACATCTGGGAAAACGCCTCAACGATTTGACAGTACTGAATGAACTGTGGCTAATAGGGTGTGTTACAACAGAACAAAGAACTTTCCCTTGGACTGAAGGCCCTTTCTCACCCGTTAACGTCTTTTTGGCTTGGCCGAGGTCAAAACCCGGAGAACCTGGAACCCCATTGGTAGCGCTAATCACTACGTCATCGTCTGAATGATGACGTATCTATAAAATACATAAGTAGTTACAGCACATTGAAGCGCACGATAAGCAGTGGAAGTTCATTTAAAATCGGCTCAGAATTTACTGGATGAGGACGTAGACCCCACAAACAGGCGGAAACATCAAGTAAATGCGTAAGATAACTTTAAAGTCGACTTAAAATCGACCAGCAGTAGGTATAAACTAGTAAACACTCAACCCAGTGATGTATTTCTCGGGAAATCTGAAGAGAGTAGATCACTTCTGAGACCTAGGTATAGATGGAACGAAAATATTAAAACTGATTTTAAAGAAATAGGGTTTAAAGGTGTAAACTGGATTTGTCTGCTTCAGGACAGACGTCAGGTGATGTTTCTTGTGAGCACGACAGTGAACCTCGGGATTCCAAAAGAGAATGGGAATTTCTTGACTAGCTGAGAGACTATCAGTTTTCCAAGGATTCTGCTGCATTCAGGCCCATGTTTCAAGCAAATATACTCTGACATTGTGGTTCGAGTGCCAGGGGACGGAAAAATATATGTTATGTGTTACAGTAAAGCCTGTCCGATACAGAATCTACATGTCTTTTAACGTATAAAGGTGAAGTCCCTGTTCTTAATTAATTAAGCATTATGTCATGAAGGCGTATGGGAGAGTGAAAGTATAGCTCCACAATTCTTGACATCGGCACTGGGTGAAGGTGAGTGGTCAGCCTTACGCCTCGGCATGTTTACCCCCCCCCACGAGAAAGATCCTCCAGATCTAGAAATTCTGGAAAGAGAATGCAGAAGTATTCCTAGTAAACGGAAAATTTATTTTTTCTTTTAACGGAGAATTATCTTCGCAAATAGGCCTATTTCTTTTGTTCATGTTTTAAGTTCTTTTTCGTGTTTTAATAAATCTGCATGAGATGAAACGTTCCTGCTACAAACGGGAGAGAATTAATCCCGACCGTCGACAGAATACAAGCAGAATAGTATACTCGAACAAAGGAAAAGGAGAAAGTATATTCTATAACAGAGTATGTACATATGTAGCAGAACTTTCCCACTTGTGGCTTTTGTCTGAATACGTATTGTACAAAACTGAAAGGAATCGATAAGTTACAAGTTTTACTTCGAACGTTGCTGATCCTCCGATAAATCGGACGGAAATTATCACTTCTAAAGATTTTACTATAGGCTGTATAGCACATTTCCCCATTCTTCTTGTAAGCATCCGGGCAAACCGTGTCTTAGCACACAGCCTTCATTTTAGTACGAAATTTGAAAAGCAATACTTTTGTTCCTTCACGCGTAGCTTTGACTTATAAGACGAGTTTTGGTTTGGATGATTGGATTTATTGCACCTTCCACATTCACACAGTTCGGAACTACAGGCAGTACAGCGCTATTGCCATTCTACACGCTCTCAGTTCACCGTTGCACAGGTACTAGAATTCTGTCTTTACTAGTCGTATCCTGGCAACGGATTTATCAGTCTCACTGGCACTTCGAATCAAATATTCTGCATCTGCCAATTCAAAAGACTCAACTCAATTAAATTGATCTGCTCCTAAGCTCATATCCCGGCAGGCTGGCATCTCGAAAAACAAACCCTTCACTTCACTCTAATACTCTTGTCACTAATCCGTCTCCGTCTTGTGTCCTTTTATAACACCTCGGCACGGACCACACGAAAAACACAGTCTGTATTGTTAAGGAGGCTTGTTTACTGACCCCATACCTAGCAATGGATCTCCTATTGTCGAGTACGCGTGTGTTCTGGGAATGTGTTCATCGAGCCGTTGCCTAGCAATGTTTATATACATTACAATATATATGATTCTTGGCTTATTTAACGACGCCTGCAATTCTAGTAGCTGTAGCTTTGGATGAAAGAAGCAGTGAATTATGAATTAGAGAGGATGTGAAACGAAGCGGTTAACGTCTAATTTATAGCAGTGTCCCGGCATTTTCTTGGTGGGACTGAGAAAAACAACGAAACGCCTCAATAAGTATGATGGGTCTCCGGGCAGAAGTCTGAACCCAGGACCTATAGAATATGAAGCAGAAGTGCTACGCAACAGCAGAGTGTATCAGTCCGGTTGCGACATGGCGCAAGTAGCAATATAGATAAAACCAGAAACCCAACTACGTTATCGGTGGAACCTTGGCATGACAGTGGAGAACAAACAGCAAGTTCAGCCGGGTCTTAAAAAAGCAATAGAATAGAGTGGGTGGGCTTCTGCGTGGACGGCTCTCTCATACGTATATTTTGCGGAGAGCTACAGATATTCCTTTTGTGTCTAAGAAAAGAATTTCAATGGAAAGCGTCAAAACATTACGTGGAATCCTTCTAGGGAGTATTTCTTTGTTTTGAAAGACGGCTAATTTCTTTTAAATTCTAAACGACATGAAAAATTAAGTCAGTATAATTATTGTAACGGTTATAATTTGTTACATAGGCCTTCAGTGAAACCTGTCTGTAGCGTAATCTAAATGGACCCCAACATTCTTACGCAGGCGAAACGGAGTGATGAACTGTGAAAATTTGAAAGTGACTGTATCTTTTTATGGCACTCCGCTTTCGCATAGAGAGAAGGAAGAAAAATATAAAATTGTCACCGGTATCTCGGACGAGATTCAAACCGAGTACCTCTCAAATACGATTTCAGGGCTACACAAGCTAGAACGGTTGCGTGGCTCTCCCTCATGTTGCAATTCGGTCTGTTATCTTGAAGGAAGATCACAGCTAGAGTTAACACGCAGGGCTGCAAGAGTTGAGTAACAGCCATTGAATGGAAGATCAGTTCCCTTACGTAAGGAGCGCAGTCTGTCTTCATTGTGGCCGATAATTACAATTGTAATTTGCGTGTTAAGAAACAATCTCATTTTCTGTCATCACTAGATGGCATGTTTAATGTACGTACAATAATTCTGAACTCATAGAAACATTTATTTTTGTCCTTGAACAATGCCAACTAGTGAGCGTTATGTAAACTACCGTAAAACAATTTACGGAACTGTTGAAACATGACACACGTTTACCTCCCTCTCACAGCTACGTGTTTTCAGAGATTGTGCGATTCTTATTTTGCAGTTCACGAGGCGCCGCTGTAATATTTGGCAACTACAAGCTTATCGTGCTTCTGCGACACTGCATACCGTTTTAAATGCCACTCTGTGTTACTGCCTGTTTCAAGCGCCTTCATCTACTGCAGAGGATACTTAGTGTGAAGGACATTGACGTTGAGGGCAGACGGCAACACAGGAGAACTGCCACGAGTCTTGCACCACTAGGATGTCGGATGGACTTCTACCTCGTAAGAAATAGATCCATATGCAAAGTTAACTGCACTGCCGCCCAGATAGGATACATAACAATTGAACACATTCAGCCGGCCCGTTCGAATCCCAGCAGCTCTGATTTTCTGCAAGGGCTCTGCTCATCAGTCTACCACATGCGCATTATTTGTTTCGATTTTGTGTAACCACAGTAGCAAACATAACGTCTTTAATTGAAAAGGTAAAGGTATCCCTGTAACAGGCCGTGGAGGCCCATAGGGTTGTGAGAGGTTGAGGCTCCCACATCTTCTAGACAATCGACTCACAGATGGCAGTAAGACTGTCAGCCTTACGTGCCGGCCGCCATTCATCCAACCAGGAAGATTCCTGGTACTCATTTGTGTTAGAGGCTGAGTCGACCCCAGGGCCATAGTGCGGCTGGAAGAATTAGGTCAATTGAAAATTCCAATGACATCGGGAATCGAACCCGTGGCCTCCAGGTTCGTAGTATAGTGCCTCAACCAACTACGCTACCGCATGCCCCAACGCCTTTAATTATCCTGTCTATATTAAATCATATTTAGAGTTCGAAACTGTGGACTTTCAGACCGAAAGAGCATCCAAGGAACGCAGCTGGAAATATCAATATATGCTCAAGATGGAATAACCCCACACCGTGCTCTCTTATTTTGCCCTCAGCTATGCGCCAAGATACAGTAGTCGTGCTGTCGTAAGGCATGAACTCTCTTCGCTTGCACGGATGCTGGGATCGTGGGTTCGAATACTACTCAGGGCACAGATGTTTGGTGTGTGTATGTATGTGTTTATTCTGTGTTTGTGCTATCCTCTGTTTAGGTAGCGGCCTTGCAGGGGGCTGATCACTCGCGCAAGGAGTCCTACCATCTGTGAAAAATGATTACGGAACTGAATAAGAGGCCATGACCCTAAATGGGCTGGAAGAGCCACTGGAAAAAAAAAAAGTACCAAGTTGCACATATTGTCATGTGACATCGACAGTACGTGAAAGTTTTAGGCTGTAACCTCTTAATTCTATATAATTCGTTTTGGTAGCAGAAAATACATGGCCTCCTTTCGACGCGACGACTGACGCAAAATACCCCTAAGAAATTTTGATTTTGTAGCAACCAGTCCTGCATTAATGACCTCCACACTCAGTTGCATGTCGGGCTGGTGCCGATGTCTTTCATTGGAGATAACGTCGGTTCGAGCACGATGCTATAGAACCAAGATCGATAATAAATCGATTCTCATTCAATTACTGACGGACGGTTCAAGTTTACGTGGTCCAACAGCACTGTTCTGACGGCAGTGAATGCGGACTGAGCTCAGGCTTTTATGAAACGAGGAAGGGAGGTACTGAACACCACGCATTTGCATGTATGTGGGTTGGATTTGAATGTGTCTCAGTTGGTTCGAAGAAAAAGATGTCCAAGACGACGGTTCAAGTGATCTGAAGTGGCGTGATGGCAGATGCTTGTTTATGGTACAGCCATCGTTGCACAGGCAATATCTCACGCGTCCAGAGTCTTCTTTCTTTCATTATAAGCGCGGCTGTCTTTCATAAAGATAAATGCTGATGTAAGCAATGCGAATGTAAGTGAAAGAATAATACATACGTCATTAAAAAGGTGTAACTATAATTGTCAGACCCAATGTCCTTATTTTCCATTAGCTCAAAAGGGTATTTCCAGTAAATAGGAAGACACTTTCTTCTAAGTATATTAACTCAGGCCTTTGAACTTTCAGACGAAAAATAATCGGAGCTTACCGAAAGAAAGAAAACTTGTTGCTTCTTTTAGATGCTTTCAAATAAAATTACAGATCCTTATCGAAATTGTGTTTGTTCTGTCACGAACAACAGTGTAGCAACGTAGACGTGCCAACTTTTGAGGTTAGGACACCAGCGGCATTAGTTCGAAGTCCTGTTATTTTGAAATCGGACTGATATGTTGGCCATGTGGTTTGAGGTGCGAACTGAGATCGCGGGTTCAATTCCTCCTCAGGGAATTCGTGTATGCCGTTCTCTTTCTTCGTTATTTTGAGTGTCTTTTCGAACTTCCGATCCCCCCCCCCCCTTTCAAGGAGTTCTGCATAACAGATTCAGAATTACGACTTCATGTTCCTAATCGTACTGACATGGGGAAGGGGGGACGGCAGTCTTCAGTCACCTTTTAAGCACTTGGTCCATTGTGCACCCCCAGTCTAGTCCAGTAAACTTCTGCTGGTCCTCGCAAGCAGTTATCCTTGGTTCAGAGTCCCATGGAACCCACGACCGTATTTTACTCTCTGATGGCTCTGGGAGCCTTCCTTACTCTCTGACATCACTGTGCACCCCCAGGGTTGTTCGGACTTCTTACGATCCTCGACCTCAGCTGGAGCCAAAGCCCTGCTCCACACGGAAGCCCTCTTAATTCCCACGGCTCTACCCATGCAGACCCACACTTCAGAGGTCCATGTCCAATCTAGCAGTGACATAATGGCACCTCCCCTTGGGCTGCTGACACCGGGTACCCTGACGCTCTCTGAAATTGACGGACAGGAACATCATAGCCCCCACCACTGGTCCCTATGGGCCCGCAGCGAGGCACCCGGCTTCCCTCAGAAGAGCTGTTCTTCACCAGCCTCTTCTGCTGGCCAGACACAGAGTTAAGGCTTAATCCAATGACTAATGAAGATTGATATTTAGAAAACTAACCGTTAAATAAGATAATTTTTGTCTAAATTGGAAGATAACGCGTGTCTGTGTAAAATTCAACTGTAATTACGAAGTGTGTCTCGTGCACATTTCTTCTTAGACGTGTCAGGATATGCTCCCAGCCGTACAAAACCCACTCAAGCGACAATGAATGTGGAGGTAATCATGTTCTCTCTGCCTTTCTGACTGTATCCTCCTTAATTGCAGTAATGAATAGTGTAAAGGTTTTTATTTCATTTGAACTGCTAGACTAGGACGCCCTTGATGTGCTCCGAGCCCATCACAAGGCCACTGCCTACGCAACACAAAGACATGGAAGTAGTCGTTGCCTCGGTCTGCGTGCGCAAGTCACTGTAGCCGCACTTTCCTGTACAACCCCTTTGTCACGACTTATCTGTGGTGGCGAGGAGCACAGATATGCAACCAGGCAGACTGGTGTAACAGAAACGCGCTTGTCACATATTCATGAAGAAGCCGGTTCTGATCTCGGCTGGACGGAAGTGTTTAGCAGTTTCCTGTTTGATACGTAATTCTAATGCGATTTCTGGCGGACGGCTTGCGTCATGGCTACCCTCCAATCGGCTGACCTATCAGGATGGCCATTGTTCGAATCTGGAATGTCACGATTGGTTGTCAGTTTTTATGTCTGGAATTAATTTCTTTAAGAGCGATCTTGACCGTATTACAACTGAAACTCCACAAGCTGACTCATTGCGCATGCACCAGATTCCTCATATTTAAAATAATATAAAAGCGGGTCATTCTGTAAATAGCCGAAAGAAAAAGCAAATTTCATGAAATAAGCCTTCATGAGCAACTGATACCGTGCCAACTAAGACATTTCCCTCTCATGTAACAAAATGCTTTGTGGGAAAAACTCTTTAATTTTAGCCAGTTGGATGGGAACGAGACCCAGATGGAAGGATAACATTAAGATGCATCTTGAGGAAACAGGGAGTGAAGAACTAACTGTGAAACGTGCGCAATTTCAGATTTTGGTATTCGCGACATCGTATTGGATTTTGGCCTTCTACCATCTTGGAAGGAGCTGGTTTGTTATAGTATTAAACTGTAATGGACATTATCACGCAGTGAGGGGAAGTCACGGTAATATCAACGGCAGCTCAGTGTACACCATGAACTAAATCATTAACTACTTGCTTCAGTTTCCTTATACAAGGAATATATGCTTATATGCTTCTTCTATTTACTAAATGGCAGATTGGTTTATTTTTAGTTTAATTAACTGCAACTCAGAGTACATGGTGTCGAAGGGCCGCGCCATAGCTCAAGCGGTTAGTCGCTCCCGGGTCTGTTCAAGTGGGATTTGTGGTGGACAAAGTGACGCTGGGGCAGGTTTTCTCCGAGTACTTCGGTTTCCCCTGCCAATCTTCATTTCATCAATTGCTCCACAATTACCCTCACCTATCATCTAGGGCTGGTACAATAGGCCAGAAGTGGCCGCAGTACAAGGGACTTAGTCCCACCCCACTAGCAATAAAAAAATAAAAAAATATAGTGTCGAATGGTATGAAGATAGCGAGAAATGACTTTGAAAGGATGTGGAAGATAGCAACTGTGGCCTAATTTATTGTACTATCTAGGAATTTGTCTGGAGAGACTGAGGAGAACCATGAAAAACTCTTGGTGAGATATGCGGACGTGCAGGCCGAATTCCGAAAGGGGCACTTCCGGGAATCCAGAGTGCTCACTTGCTCTGCAATCTGGGAAATGTTCTGATACAGGAGAATAACGGTAATACTGGCGCATGCGCAATGGGATCTCAGTCCCTATGTAAGATTTGAGATTTTCACGGCGGTGACTGTGAAGAATGCCGTCTTCTGGGATGTTGCGCCGTGTATATCTTGTGTGTGATCTGCAAACACCTGCTTACGGTGGTTCCTCTCTCACGGATGTTTCTACCCTGAAGATGGAGGCGATACGTTACTCCGAAACTTCGCTTCACACAAGATCTACACGGCGCCACATCCCAGAAGACGGCATTCTTCTATCTCAGTCCCAGCCAACGGTTCTGACCCGTTACGTGAGGTTGTAATCAATGCGTGGTCTGTTTCATCTTCTGCTGGTACCTCTGTACTTGATATTCGTATTTCCATTGCGATCTGGATTTCAGAATTTTATTATTTAGATTAAAGATGTTCAGCTCTTCCATAATTTTAGTATTTACGGTAAGCAGCCTGCGGAGTGGAAATCGTCGTTCAAAATCAAACAATAACATACTTAACACTCCTCCACCTACCTACGGTTCGGGCTCTCAAGCGGGTTCCTGCCATGATACTCTCCAACGACAGTGTTCTACAA